GTGTGTGTGTGTGTGTGTGTGTGTGTGTGTGTGTGTGTGTGTGTGTGTGTGTGTATGCCACTAGGTAGTTGACAGGTCAATAGAAAATGCAAAGTGGACAAACTTACTTGAGGATAGTTTAAAATTTCCTTCATTACATCTAGACGTACAAGACCAACTTGTTGCCCATCGACAACAAATGCTCTGTATTCTCCTGTATGAAAACCTAAGAAACAAAAGCATATACATAATAATACTCAAATGAAATATTATAATTCACATTAATGACTATAGCTCTCATATACAACAACACATAGAGATCATACAGAATAGTCACTAAGTAACATTTTCCTTTAGAAGTAGTATGCATAAGACAATATACAATAAATTTATAGGCATTTCACAGTTCTGTTATCCGAATATAGGAATCAGTTAATCGGATCTATTCGGAAATATGCGCGACACGTCTAAATCTCTCGCCGAACAATGGTCTTTCATCTCTAAAGGGAATGTCGATTGTATCTGTCTTGACAAAAAAAGTTCAGGACTGTTCGAGAACCGCTGCTTTTCGGGAGAGGCACGTAACAAGCGACGATAACAAGAGAAACGGGAGGAGCACACGCGACTCGCCGTTAATTGCGCCGTACATTTCCTCGAAATTTGACTCGTCACTTCGAATGGAAACGTCAAAGGAAGTGTATATCTTGTCATACAACACTCGAAATCAATATTTTCGGCGGTTCGTACGGATGGTAGCCGTGCGTTCCTATCTATCATACGACCAGCAGACGTGTCAATTGAGACGATACGGAATAGTGTGAGCACGGCTCGCCGCTTTCACTTACCTGACAGGTAGAAGCAATTGAATTTGTTGGCGAGTTTCATTAGACGTGACATCGGCTTCTTGTCGCTAACCGCCATGATGTTACGCCGTTATCAGCCAGCTGCGACGGAAAATCCTAGCATCGAGCATAATATATGTCAGACAGGAGCCAGAGACGGGATTTCTGCGCATACGGCGTCCCGCGGACCGAAGCGTGACGACGAACTGCAATTGGCCGATTGGTTTCCATGCTCACACGGCTGACCAATCGGCGACACTACCCGGCTAACACGCTAGTTGCGTTACCAGGCGCGCCGCTGTCATTGTCGGTCACCGCGATGCCAATAAGGACAACGTCACGTGATACGAGAAAATAGAAAGTGAAATTCGATTGGAATAAAAAGTGGATGTGTCTCGTTATTCGGCGAATTGCAAATTTGTAGATTGTTCGATTAGTTATCCGATGGAATACATAATTCCAAAGTGTAATCCACTTTTAATCATTCTCAATGCAAATAAACATGAAGTCACTGACGAGAATTAAATGCCAACGGTCTGAGCGAGAGTTCACATGATTGTCAATATTTTGGGTGGCCTATACATGTATCTAAGTAATTGTGTCGAATGGCAGTCGGTAATGTCAGCACTCTGCGATTATCCACGGGTTTCATGACAGTCACGAAATTTTACCAGAGGTCGACGATAGTCTCTATGGTACTTCATCGTTGGTAACAGCAGAGAGAAGCATGAGAGTGGCTACTAACCTGATCTCAAGGGCTAGAGCTAGGCGCATTTTCGAGGCGCCATCTAAGAAAGTGTGCCTTTACTACGTTCGTTAGGCGTATTTTCGCGATGGTAACGGTAAAATGTGTCTGGTTCGTGCCTGTTGTACTTCCGTACAATGATAATAAGTTAGAGAAAGACAGACGTCCAATCGCTCTATTCTTGTCTTACCATTGATGAGCGGACTGCGCGACGTAGGCACGAAGTAAGGCGCGACGTAGGCGCGACGTAAGCGAGCTGGCAGCGATATTATCGTAAAACTAGATCATCGGCAGCTCTCGATGTGCTCGTCTCGACGGTTGAGAGTGTCATGGCGTGACGCTCGAGCACGTGCTCGCGCATATATGTGATATGACCCGGGCGCGCGCTCTCCTCAGTCAACGACATGAGCGAGACGTTACGACAGTTCGTTTATCTAGCCTTTGTGGAGTAGAGTTTTTGTTAGAGTCGTTGTCGAGGTATTGTTATTACCGAATATTCGATCATCACTATTTCGTTATTTACTCGGATATTATCACACGATTATCGAGCAGATATTATTATCACTATCATTTAATATTCGAGTATTATTATTTCTTTATTCGTTTATTATTTAATTTATTCGGTTATTATTTAATTATTGCTATTACGCATAGGAAAGTCATTCGGGCATGTCGTTTCGACAATTTATCTCGTCTTTGTTTAGCTATTATCATCGTTGCCTAGTTATTGTTATTTATTGTTATTATCGATTATTCGATCATTACTATTTCCTTATTATCCGCTCGCGGCTATTATCATACGATTGTCGATCAGATATTATTATAATTATTATAGAAAAGTAATAATATTCGAATAATAAATGGTAGTGATAATAATATCTGATCGACAACCGTACAATAATAACTAAATTACGATATCGAATGATCGGTAATAACAATGAATAATAATAACTGGGCAACACAATAATAACTGAACAAAGACGAGGTAAAGAAATCGTAACGGCACGCCCGAGTTGCTTTCCTACGCGTAATAGCAATAATTAAATAATAACCGCATAAATTATATAAGAACCGAATAAAGAAGTAATAATATTCGAATATTAAATGGTAGTGATAATAATATCTGCTTGACAATCGTATGATAATATCCGCGAGTGGATAATAACGAAATAATGATGATCGAATAATCGGTAATAACAATATCTAGGCAAAGGCTCTCAAAAAACTCAAGACTCCATAAAGGCTAGTTTAAGAGTCGGAGAGAAAAGTATATCGGAAGCAGGAGTTTGCTGGGCCGGGATTCAAACTCGGGTCTTTCGCTTGCCGGGCGATTGTTCTATACCACTGAGCTACCCATGCTCTCGCTCCAACACACTCTCTCTCTTGTCTTCTTAGGCTGATATTTCACGTGTCGTACAAGTTTTTTGGAAGTTCATTGGTTGATGAACAGAGAACTTAGAAATACTCTATTCGCCAACTAATAAACGTATCCGTACGTATCCGTACGACACGTGAAATAGCACCCTTATATTGTTGTTATTGTCAAGATGCCGCGTGTTACCTCAGTTTGGTTTTTACATTCTACACTAGGTAAACATACCGTCGTAACGGTCCGCTCGTGCCGCTGACTGAGCGGCGCTTAGGGGGGCGCGCGGCCGGATCATATAACTCACGTGCGCGAGCACGTGTTCGGCGTCACGCCATAACACTCTCAACCGTCGAGACGAGTACATCGGGAACTGCCACGTTATTTTCTAAATTATTTTGCGCCGATTTTTAATATCACATTTATTCGAAGTTATTAGGTGGTAAACTTGGTTCCTGCGGTTTTTTTGTTTAAAAAAACTCATTTATTTCGACATCAAAAGCAAAAAATACATTAATTGAAGTATTTTCCCTCGCTAGCTATACATTTTTCCCATCTTTCGGGCAACGCGTAGATTCCGCGACGATAGAACGATTGGTCTTTTGATGCAATCCATTCGTCGATCCATTTTCGCACATCCTCGTAATTTCTGAAGTGTGTATCCACCAAGCCGTGCTGCATCGACCGGAACAAGTAATAGTCCGAAGGAGCTAAGTCTGGTGAATACGCTGGGTGCGGGAGAACTTCCCACTCGAGCTGCATCAGTGTTTCTTTGACGGCTTTGGCAACGTGTGGTCGAGCGTTGTCGTGCAAAAGCATGACTTTACGTCGATT